TACAGTCAGGCACATGTTTAAGATTGAACTCCCCCTTCCCCTGGCTGCCTCTATAATCTCAGTTATCTAATCCATCACTTGAACTGTTGAGGCTCAAACTGCCCTTTAAAGTCTAGTTTGGATCTTATGTTGCTGCAGGATTACACATTTCATACCTCTCGAACTATTAACTGCTCTTTTGCTGATTTTCCTCCCAGACCAAACTCCTGACTGAATCTGTTGTCTGTGTGCGAGAGTGTTTACTGAAGTTGTCCACACGTGGGGTCTCACTGTGAAGGATTTATCAGGCTAGTCATGGGATTAGCACTAATTCTGCCCCTGAAACTAGTGTCAGATTAACAGATACCCATGGCTTTATAAACTGTCTGTAATACAGACATAATCTGTCAGTACCCCTGTTGTTACCTCACCCATCAGCAAGGCTCAACGGTCTATCCCCACACTCGTCATGAATAGTCACGCTTATCGCGATCATGTCGTTTCATCTATGGCAGTGGTAGAACCCAAACAATTTGAGAACATGACAGTTATATTGGTGGAAAAAGTTCACCCACAGCATGTTTAGTAAAAACACGTTATAAGAAATTCAGATCACATGGCTGCTGAAATGAACAATCTTTTTTATGGTTCATGTACAGCAACAGTCTATGGTAAATTGCCAGGTCACTTTAACTGTAAATACTTGATATATATTTTGGGGAAAACAGCACAACACTGACACATGCAAAGACAAATAAAGTATTAGACGACTTTAATCTTAAAGCAAACAAACAAAGAGATGAACAGAGATATAAAATCACGGGGTGGCAGCAGACAGAGCGACAGAGACGGAGGTCAGGGAGGATGAAGAGGAGGAAGAGAGGGATGAACGGATTACAGTGGTCGATACTTTGGCTCCTTTCCCAGACTGAGAGATGACACTAAATCTGTTAATTCTTTCCCCCTCCCAACCCCTCCCTATTTCTTCACATGCACTTGTTGCTTTGATTCTCCTGCAGGATTATGATGTTTTATTTTGACAAACTCTTCAATTTTTTACTGTCTCATTTAAAGTAGGAATTTACTGGTTCTTCAGGATTAGGACGTTATTCACAGGGCAATCTGATTAATGCTAGATTAATGTGGCAGAAAAATGCACAAAGAAATTTGATGTCGCACTCATATGTGTGTAGTGTGTACTCTCGTTGCTTGTATATGTTCAGGTGTGTATGCCGTTAATAATAGAGTGTGTGTGTATTAATGAATTACATGTATAACTGCGACTGTTTCTTGGGGCTACAGCAGTAATGTCTGTGGAACTGGGTTATTATTATCACTGTTAATTATATTTATATATATATATTTATATCACAATCTGCCCCTCTGTGTGTCTCCGTGTTTTATTTTGTCATCACTGTGTTTTTGATTTACTTCCTGTTTTTGTGTTTTTTTTATTCTGATTGCCTGCACTGCCCCGATTAGTTTCACCCTATTTTCCTGTCATGTGAATAGAGTGCTGCAGGGATGATGTATTTTTGTCTCACATCCCAGAAGCGTCACCCTTTGACAAAGCTCAAAACACAGAATGTCAGTGTGCCCTTAAAGTGCGTTTTTACCATTGCTTCTTATTTGCATATATACAGATGACAAAAACTGTAACTCAGCACCACATCATATTTATATTATATTGTATTATATTGAACTAATTTTAGTCTTGGTCATAGCGCCACCTTCTAAGAACCGGAACTGTCAAATTTTCACTTTATCATATTCTCCCAGTGGTTTCAATGGAAAAGTCTGGTAGTAATAGTCTCAATACCAAGATGATTTGCTGGAGAGAAGCTTTATATTTTTATTACCATTATGATTTTGACCATTTTCTTGCCACAAAGGTGGCTGTGGCTAAGGGAAGGTCGGTGGTTTGATCCCATCTGCATGTGTCCTTGGTGATAACCTGTACAGTGAAGTGCTTTAAGTGGTCATCAAGACCATCAAGCTTTATTAATACATTTACCATTTACAAAACAGGAAGCTGTTGCCAAGTGGCCTCACATGCTTGAAAGCTCACTACATTTAGTGCACACTTCAGGCAGCCCAAAATATGCAATTTGATGAATTTGTTTTGCTTCATAGATTTGTCAGAGTCTGCAGCCTTTTTCTAAAGTTTTGTCTCCTGTAGTTTCAGTTCATTGGTGTTTACTGCAGCTATAGACTTCAAGTTTCTTTAGCTCGACATCTATGCTCTGTGGTTTTGTTTTGAGGCCCTGTCACTTCTATTGTTCAATATAAACATCCAAACATCCTACTAATCACCAAACATCTGCTCAGCAATCACTCACACTGTCCTGCTTTAATACATCGTTCTGAACTGCAGTTTTTTGCCATTCAATTAGAAATGCTGTGGAGCTCAGTCCCACAAACCAATTTTTTAAATACATGAATGCTACACCAGCTTCTAACAGTAATTACTTGACACAGTCAGTGTCTATAATCCTGGTTAGCTGTAACCTGTAGCTGCACAGGTGTAAGTACATGTTACTGTTTGAGCCACTCAGTTTAACAAACAGGGCCACAAAGAGACTCAAAAGCCACTGCCCCCTGTCACCGTTAAGTGAGACAGTTTCCATGACGACCCAGCCGAACAGCTCACTTATGACCTTTGTCACTATGGTTGTAATTGCATTAAATTACCCTGCATCTTTTCATTGTCTAGTTTCATGAGTCATTTCCCGTGTAACTGCTGTGGCACCAATATGATCCAGCAGGCCTGCTGCGAGGAGCCACATCCAAATAGGCTTTCACAGCTTGTCCATACTCTGATAGCACTTTCTGACAGCATGGAGGATGGCGTTTAACACCCTCATTCAGGGTGAAATAGGTAATTTACAGATCTACTGTAAATTTGAATTTGAAAACAGGAACTGATGGTTGCACAAGTCACAGCGGCCCTTTCTCGCTCGCTCCCCCAGCTCAGAGGGAGGAGGATTTGGATTTTAAAGGGGTATTGTGTGAGCGCAGTCGTGCACATTTTTCTGGACTGCCTGCATCCTTTTATTTTCACGCATTTTTCTCCTCTACCCACACATGTTCTCTCCCAGGCTCCTCTCTTCCCTCGGCCTTTATGTGATCATGTTGCTTGGTAACAGCAGAAGAATGACGAGAAAGTGTGGGATGTGTTCGGGTGCTCCCTGTGTGATGTGATGTGTCTTCACATCAGCAGTACAGAAATACGGAAGAGCGTGACCAAGCTAAGAGCAGAATGAAACTTATTGTAACATTTTTCTGTTTAAGTTTCAGTTGTGAGGATGCAGAAGAATCATTGTCCTCATTAGTTGAATTCAGTACAGTACAACTCCATTTTCTGTTTGTGTTAATAGAGAATAATAAAATAATGCTGGGGAAGCTTGGCCATAATGATCTTTCTTCCTTTAAGTACATTTGTTGAGGTGCACCAGAGCACCAGAACATACTTTGCATTGGGGCACAACCTGATATGAAGGTAGTGCCACTTCAAGCTTATTTGAGCAGAAAAAAAGCTAAAAAGTTGCTTTATCGTTCTTGGACAATTTATTTGACAATCTGCGTATTAAAAATCTCAAAGCTCCATCTTCTGCAGCTGCTTTTCACAATTCATCAATAACAGTGGGCACATTCATTTCAAAGGAATATTATTACATGAGAGGAGTCACTGCTGTAGATTCCACATTACATTCGAGGCGGAGTGGGAGTAGAAGTTCAAACCCAACACTGATGTTATATCTCACTGTGTTGTCATGAAGTCATTGTTGCAAAGCCTGCCAATGCACAGCCTCTAATCTCTCCATAAATCAAAGCACAAGATGTTAAATGGCTCCAGGAACGACTCAGCCTGGAGTGACTGGGCCGAGAGGGATATTAAATCATCTCTTATTTGGAAAAAAGCAGCGATTAATTTAAAGTGATATAGAAGCTGCATGATTCATTAGATCAATTTGAGTTCATACATAAAGTAACATCTGGGGAAAAAGTGTCTGTGGACGGGATGCATTTATAAAATGTGCAAAACACATGTGTAATTAAGTGATCACAGCAATTACTGTAAACTGAAAAACCTCTATAGTGTTTCCCCAGAGGCTGTCGGCTCAGTAATAGTCACTGAAAAACAGCCTGTCTCTGATTTCAGCAAACAGCAGCGTTCGCTCGCTTTATTATTACTCGAATCTGAGTCATTACAGCATCTTTGGAAAAAAGGTCACGGCACGGTTGCTAATGACAACCTGCAAGACTGCTGCTCTACTCCAATCATGCCTGTGTGTGTGTGTGTGTGTGTGTGTGTGTGTGTGTGTGTGTGTGTGTGTGTGTGTGAAGACCGGAGGCTGTCTGATTTGTGGGAATCAGTCGCCCCCTGCTGTTTCACAAATTTTTTGACTTGTGAATATATGCGGTTGCCATGTCAACCGGAGGGGGCATTTCTGGAGTCAGGAAGTACATTCAGCATCCACCTGTTTCCTCTGAAATCAAGTCACTCAGTCAGATGCACATCACTGTAAAATGACACTGGTTTAACTGGTCTGGGTGGTAAACTAAGAGATGATTTGATTTACTAGTAATAGTTATAATATATGCAGTGAACGGGCATTCAGTTTCAACTGTATTAATATTCAGACTGCAATACATTTTTGTGATCCAGTGGAATTCGGCTCAAAACACACACCTCTCACCTCCAGCTTACAGTAGAGCTGTGACAAGAGGGGATTAATACATTTTTAAGTGACAGGAAATGAAAACAAATCTAGGTTGAAATACTAAAACAAATAAAAAATACTTTTACTTATTTTTGTTAAACAAAAAAGCCCAAACATTTTTTTCTAGCTTCTCAAATTAGATAATTTTAAGCTTATCTTTGTCGTACATGACGGTAAACACATCTGTTAGTCAAAAAAAAAACATGCCATCATTGGCTCTGAAAACAGTGAACTGACAGCAATAAGAAATTGTTAGAAAGAAAAAGCAGGAGTCACAGCTGTTTTATTTGTGTTTTATTCATACAGTGAGGGTGCTCATACACACATTATATTTTTTCTATAAAATATATTACCTTTCAGTTCTGAAAAGGAAAACTAGATATAAATCATCATCAAGTTTCATTTGATAAGAAGCAACTCATTTTCAAGTGCCAACCAAGGCAGTCAACTGTATCAGCAGTCAAAAATGCATTGCAGGTTTAAGAAATCACATTCTAATAAAGGTTCCTTTTTTCTTATGTCTAGCAAAGCCACAATGTTTGAGCGCTCGGCCCACTGTCCACCAACACAAAAGACAATGATCATTTCGGTTTTCTAAAGAAGCAAATACTGTTAAAATACTGTAGCCACAAAGGTTTTTCACGTGAGAGGAAGGCAAAGACAGAAACACGGTCAGCTTGAAGCTGGAACTGACATGAAGGAAAAAGTGAGTGTTTCAACAGAAGCCAGTGACTGATGCTTTATGATTTCTGTCGTGTCGAGCCGTTAAGACGTCTTCTCTCTGGCTCTACCCCCAGCTCACACGCTCCTCTGTGTTTCCTCCTGGGTGAGATGCTCCACGGTTGTCATGACAACGCTTTCGGCTGGACAGCGGCAGGTGAATTGCTCGTGCATCACAACAGCTCGCTGTGACCAGGTGCAGAGTTGAGGCTGTCTGTGAAGTCTGACAGGACCAACACAAAAAAGACAAATCATTATTAGTTCCATTAATTATAAAAATGAAATGTTTACAGTAAAGTTAGTTTTATACAAATAATCATTCAGTGTTTTATTATTACTATTGTATGTCTATTCATCTCTTTAGTTAATAATAATAAATATATTCCACAACAGTTACACATAATGTCTGTTTACTACATGACTCACACTCTGTAACATCTGCTGTGCACACACACACACATAAATAAAAACAGAGAGACGTGTACCAGACAAGTCCAGTGACTTATTTCTGTTTTGAGGGAGTCTAGGTTTTTTCACAGGGGGTTTGCGATTTGGGGGCTTCTCAACATTATTAGGGCTTTCCCTGTCAGTGCCTGAGTTCAGTGAGGACAGAAAACATAGATCAACAGTTAGACACACACAGATCAACATAAATATACACAGGTGCAAAAGCCTGTTAGGTTAATGATAAGGAGAAAGCACAGTTCAATCTGTACCTGCATCACAGGACATGGCCTTTCTGTTCCTCTGTGGTTTCACTGGTGCCTGAGGACGCAGCCCTTCTTCACCTGATCACGACAATTCAGCAAAATAACATGTTTACATATTAAGAATAATATATTATGCATTAGCATGTATACTGTATGTCAAATGTAAATATAAAATGGTCTCCAGCTTAACTGGGACCCACACACATCAACCCTTTAAACAAGTCTTAACCATAGACTGTATAAATATGGACGACCCATCTACACTTCCTCCCACTATTTAGAAATTAAGCCAAAATAACCCTTATACACACAGTGCCACTGTGTACCGAAGACATCAATGGGTGCCTGAGTCTGCACAGTAGTGATCAGACTTAGCTGTCGATGTTTAATCAAATTTTTATTGCATTATATAACTAAATAAAACCAAACTTAGATTAAACTAAGCTAAAATCAACACCTGAGCAAACATCAGAGTGATAAAAACAAACTAAAATGACAAGCCATCTTTGAAATAAATTATTTGACGTAAACTTTGACTTTTTAGTTTGGTCGATGTCCCAGTGTGGCTCAGCCAAAATGTAACGAAATACCAACCTGCAGCTCCAAAGTGAACTCCTCAATATGTTCTGACTTCCATAGTCAACTTAGGGGAGCTGTTCTTATGTAATGACACATTCTGACTCTCAACCTGTCTCTTCCAGCTGATTGTGTGTATTTTTACTGCAGGTACCTTGACTTGCCGCTCTGTCAGGGAGTCCATGTACTGGCTTAATAACAGGAGGCGGCACAGGAGGAGGAGGTAAGTTTCTCTCATTGGCTAAATCTTTGGGAAAAGTCACATACGAGGGCTGCTTGTCGGAAATGTGAACAAACAACAAGGACATAGAGGACATAAGCAATTAGAAAATGTATAGTAACCAATGGATACTGCACAAAAATAGGAACAAATCATGACTTTAAGATACACACCTTCTCTGGAATCGGAGGAGGATGACTCTCCGAATCTCTTCTTTTTTCTATTTCTTTCCTTTCCATCTTTCCAGGATCCCTCTCTGCATCTCCTTCCTCCTCTGTACCTACAAATTAAGAAGAAGTTGTTCTCACGTAGGTTTGTTTACACATCGAGGAAAAACCTCTGTGACAGCACATCAGCGAGGATGACAGTACCTGGTAGAGCTGGGAGAGTGTCTGAGCTCTCCAGCCGATGTCTCTGCCTCAGCTTAGACATGCTGGGTTTACTGCTTTGTGGTGGGGGATCAGGTTTAGATGCAGCAGGAGCAGCTCGACCTCCTCCTGCTCCTCTCCATCCTTCTGTAAACCCTCCACCAGCATCAGGACACATGAGTCTTTCTCCATGGGTGTCCTGCTGATGCCACTCTGTTGCCTCTGTCGTTTTCAGAGGATCTGTTTCCTGTTTCGGTGATGGCGTCCTGTCCGATGGGTATGGCGGCAGTGGCCTTTGAGCCAAATGAAGTGCTTGCACTTGTCTGTCTGTCCTCCTGCTCTGCTGTCTGCTCTCAGTCCACTGATTGTCCAACTGTATGTCCATCGGCCTGTTCTCTGACCACGACCTGTCTAGTTGCCTCCCGCCCATCCACTGTCTCTCTATCTTTCTGTCAATCTGCCGCTGGGTGTGTCTGTCAACTGTCCACTGTCTGTCCACGTGTCTGTCTGGATGTCTGCTCTCAGTCCTGTACCTGTCCGTTTGTCTGTCGGTCGCTCTCGCCTCTCCAAAAGTTCTATCTTGCAGCCTGTCGTCAGCCCGCTGTCTCTCTGCATGCTGATCGCTCTGTCTCGCTTCCAAAAACTGCTTGTCTGCTTGCACCACCTCCGTTGTTCTCTGCTTGTCGTCCATCCAGAACTTGTCCATCTCCAAAGGCAGATCAAACACAGCATCTCCTTCAGCTTTCTATCAAAACACAAAAAGAGGAGGCAAGAGAACGACTGTAAACTGGGAAAAACTTTCAGCACAGACAAAAACAGTGGCACATCTGAGTGACTGTACCTCTCTAGGAGAATAGAAGGGGTGTTTGCTTCCTCCCACGCCTGGGTGAGGGATGCCCGGCACTGGGGGTGGACTCAGGACGAGGGTGTTTTTCCCTTGGTGATCAATCGTTTTCCCATCAGCCCCTTCGCCAGGAGATCCAGCTCTGGCAGCGGACCTCGGAGGCTGGAGGAGTGTGTACACGTTCTCTGTTGCCGTTCTGAAAGTGGGAGTAAGACACTGAAGATGAAGAAGAAGATTCAAAACTAAAATGTCACAAGCTTTGAAAGCAGTGTAATTATAAAAGTATCACTTTTCTTGTTAAAACTCTTACTGTCCTAATCTGTGTGACATGCCGTGTGTTCATTTCTAATCATTTGGCTGACTGTGGGATCCAGAGTCGGAGCCACCGGCTGTCACTGACATCTGTGTACACTCTGGTATCAGCGGGCCTACGCTTTGGCAGCCATCGGCCATTTACCAAATCAACAAAGAACCGAGGGAGATCTAGGTTGATGTTTGTCCGAATGTTTATGGAGTTCAATGCTGTGGATTGTTTGAGAAAGAGAAAACCAGAGAAAAATGGAAGGAAAGCAAATGTGTCCTTTGTGATGAGTTGTTTCATTATTATCTGGTTCATTGTGTTCCATGTTCAAGGCCATGCTTTTCTCCACAATACTGTATTATGCAGCAGTAATGGATCAAGGATTTGTCAAAATCAAGGGCCATTAAGTGGCCACAATTTACACAGAGGGGCCAATTATACTGTATGTCTAACAACTATGAACAATTCCTGATTCTGTCTCGTTCACATTTAAGTCATTCTTTGTTCACTGTTAGTTCTTTGAAAAGTTTAGAAAAAAATACTTATTACCAAATTGTCATATTAATTGTTAGTATTGTTAGTAAGTGACTAGTTTTATGGCAAAAAAATACTTCAGGATACTTCAGGGGCCAATCCGATTCAGCTGGGGCCACTGCCCCCAGGCCCTGCCCCTGGATCCGCCCCTACTAGGTAGTGTGCATGTGTATGTGTGCGTGTGTGGTTATATACAAACCCAGTGGGTGCTGTAGAAACAGTGTGACACCCATCTCCATAGCTCTCTGCTTCAGACTCCTGAGGCCCCTGAGTGGACAGAGATTGGTTGCGGTTCTTGCGGAAACTGAAGATGGCGAGCATGTTTCTCCTCTTCTTCCTCCGCAGAGAGTGAGCTTTGTGCAGAGACGAGAGCTGACTGAAAGAGGTGAGAGAGGTCGAGTGTCACACACACAGTCTGGTCAAGGAAAGTAACCGCGTTAGTGTCTGTGTGGCCACACATGAGTCATCTCTGTGTGGATGTCATTTTATCCACCACAGTCGTCCATGTCGAGGTTTTCTCCACTCTGCTTCTACACTATGGGCATGGAGAGGTTACATCTCCTGATTTAAAAGTGCACTTTATATATTATATTATAGATGTAATCCTATTAAAACACTGAGTTGAAAAATAAACACTCACCAAACTGCTGTATCTATATTCACATTGCTGGCTCTGCTAGTTGAAGCTCATTCCTTCTAAAATGAGTAGACTGCTGACTGACAAAACATTCATTTAAAAAGCAGATTGAATACACATGAAATCCTGCATCAATGAACCAGTCATGCCCAGACAGAACCAAACCAGCAGCTCCACCCGCTCATCAGTAACTAAGTGTAGGTTTAAACTGAGGAGGACAGAATCAATTACAATCCTCTACATATAAATATGGTTGAGCTAAACAAACAGGACTTTGCCAAGAGATTCATTCGGAGGCTGACAAAGCTCAAGGGAAACGGCCTTCTTGAATTATGAAAAATAAGAACTTGACAGAGTCAATTAAAATAAGGCAGAGCTGTCTGAGCTCAGCAGGGTTCTGACACCAAATGAATGAATTTATTAATCAATGATTTATATGGTCTGAAATAAAACATTTCTATTGAAAATGAAGCCTAAGGGATTAAAAAAGTAAACATGGATCTTCTTGTGCTTATTGTAAAATGTTGCTGTTCAGCTGAAACTTCTCTTTGACATCTTTAATCAAAAAGTCTTTTCAGAACAGTCTTTTCTGTAAAGGTGGCTAAGTGCTCACTGTGATCGATCACCTATCTCAAGCAACTTTGAAGACTCTATGTGACATTTTCACTGATTGGACATTTTCCAGATCTTTCCCGGCCAGCCCCCCCTAGTAAAGTTTCTAGAGAATGAGAGTGAGCCCATGTGACAATACAGAAGGAAAATGTCTGGGAAGATCACAGCGAGCATGTGAGCATGTTGATGACATTTCAAAATACACGACGGGTGCAAAACTGAAAAAAACAACAAAAAGGACACAATTATCTGAGGATGAAATAGAGGGGCCATAGACGACGCTGACAAAGATGTCAACTTGGAAAGATTTAACAAGATTCAAGATCCTCTTTTCTTTTCTCCACAGTAGATACAGTTGTAAATGACAGCAATAATTTTAGAAGCACAAGTGGAACAACTCTCACCTATCAGGGAGCACTCTTTTAGTGTAGAAGTCAGGCAGTCCATCATCAAGAGGGCTGATTCCTCCATTTTCACTGCAGTGCTGCACACACACGCATTTAAACTCCTTTTAGAGAGGTCAGATTACTCACAGTAGATTTCATTTGTAAATGTTCCATATGCAATAAAACAAATGGATTACATGACTTCAGTGAGATGACATAATCCAATTGCAGCCATCCACTTTGTATAGATTACCTCTGACACAGACAGGAACCACTGCCAGTAGGCACGGGCATTAGGGAGTGGGACAGTTATACAGAGACAGACAGACAGACAGACAGACAGACAGATATACAGACAGACAGACAGACAGACAGAGAGACATATCGACATATCGACATACAGTGAGACAGACAGAGATACAGACAGACAGACGGACAGACAGGCAGGCAGACAGACAGACAGATAGACAAACAGACAGAGAGAGACAGACAGAGTGACAGAAAGATCCCCCTTACTGTCTCAGCGGGGACGTGTCCTCCTTTATGCCTCCGTGGAGGTCTTGGCCGAACCCGTGTCACATGAAGTAGAGGCAAGCCCTGTGTAGGTAGCTCTGACAGGCCCTCCCATGATGCCGAGCGGGACAGTGGCGATGAGTATGATGGCACAGAAGGGGGTGGAGAGGAGCTCGAGTCGTCACACAGACCTGACAGAAAGGAAGGATTTGAGTGCAGGAGACCGAGCAGGCCCAGTGAAGAAGACTAGATGGGGGAATTACAAGAAGCAATCATTTCCGCTTCAAAGTCAAAACAATCAGCAATCGCTCTGAGACACACTGACTCAGACTTGGCTCAGGTGAGATTAAAACAGCCATTAACAGACTTCTCAGATGGACTGATGGGAAAGGAAAAACAACTCTATAGAAACACACTAATGGGGCCCTGAAAGAGACAAGATGGGGTCAGAGTGAGACAGGAAAGAGGAGCGGGAGGAGGATAAGAGGATATACCACACTGCTTACTCAGTCTAGTGGAGACAGGTCGTATTCGTCTTGTTCTTGAGCTGTGCTTCTTAATGGCTATTGTGTCCTGGGAGAAAAAAAAAAAAAATGATATGAGAGTAGGATAAGACACTCAAGGAGGAACAAGTAAACATGTCAGAAAAACACAAATTGTACAAGACTCGCTTTAGGCAAATCAGAGTGGAGTTTTGTCAAATCGAGCCACTTTGCTTTTTAAAACAATGAATTTTAAGTGAAGTGATGAACACATTTCAAGTACAGGCTGACAAATGGAACATGTGAAAACAATGGAATATAACAAACACCCACAGGGACATAGTGGAAACATGAAAAACACTGAAGAAACTGCATAATTTCCTCCAGGTCATGGGATGGCAGGAATAAATTAAAATATAAAGTTTTCTCAGCTGAAGGAAACAGAATAATTTGTTCATGAAAGCTAAGTTCATGCACAATGCTGTTCATCATCACATTAATTCAATATCATGTGCTATATTTCATTTCAATATATTTCAATGTAATGTGCAATATTTCAATTTCAAAGTGTTAGCTTCCTTACTCAAGCATTCAACACAAAGAAGATGTGTGGCCAGGCCTCATAGAGCTGCTAGTATGTCTGCAAAATTGGTACGAGTCACACGGTTAAAAAATAACCAGCTCTAATGTGCCCTCTGATGTAGATAGAACAAGTGCAATGTCTCGACAGTTTGATTAACGTATTCTTTGGCTTCATTAAGAGATACAACAGGATATGATATTGTCAGCTTATCACTGAAAGTAAATTTATGTCCAAGTCATTTAAAGAACAAAGCAAGAACAAAATGAGGCCTGAGACGTATCCTTGAGGGACTCCACAGAAGATACCAGCTGATGTTATTAATCAATGAAGTAATCGAGACCACCATCATGACCTAAGAGCTGATTCAGATTGGTTTGGTTCTCCCAGGTGTACAGTACTGTTAATTAAGTAGAGGACTTGATAGTTGATAGTTTGAAACACAGCGTTAGCACCTGCTGTGAGAGACCAATAACACAACAGTGAACCAACAATGTCCAAAATGTATAATCAAAGAGACTTTAGGGGGCATAATATCCAGATCTGGCAGGTGCTGGTTTTTGCTGGAGAGAGAAATAAATCATAGCGAGACATCGGTTTTAACTTGTGAATTAACAGCGTTTTTCTGCAAAAAGAGCTGGGGAACAAATAAGTGCTCTGATAAATTCAGCTTTATGAAGAATGAAAAATGTTTCAAATTTCACACCGGTTTTTGAGGAGGCATCAAGGCTGGAGTTCTATGAGAGGGTAATGACTAAGCTGTTTGAGAGAAAAAGGGCCCTGGGCTTGTGGAAGATTATCGAGATAGTGTGAGAGAAACCATTTACTGCAGTTTTACTTGCTTTCTTATAAATATTGAGCTGCTCATTTAGTGTCTCCAGAGGTTTTCAATTTATTCTATTTCGGGTTCGCTTGGCTTCCATACATTCTTGCCAGAGTTGTTACATTCAGATAAGAATATCTTTCACTTTTTATTAGATGTAATTGAATAAGCATGTTCCTGTCGGAGTATTGTGTTCATCATGTAAACCAACTCAAGATATTAATAAAAAGACAATTCCACCCTTCATTAAAAGTATGTCTTAGACAAAGAAACTGACGATGACAGTGATACAAGAAAACAAATGGCAGGACAACATTTATCTACTAAATCCTGAAATCTGTTTGTCTGTCTGTATGTGGCTCACATATCTTTAAACCTATTATCAGCTTTTCACTTAGCATGTGTATACAGGTGAAGTGATGTGTCTAATACATTCAATATTAACAACAGGTAACCTGCGCTCGATCAATGTACATCTGATTGTCCAGTTTGGGGTTCTGCATACTGTGTCGAGCTTCAACGCACATTGAATAAACAGGTGAACAGCTCTTTGTGCAGCAGAGGTGGGGAAGCTCTTAACTTGCTGCAGCCCAGTTACTGAAGGTCACTTTTACAGTTTCAGATCTAAAACTGCCACCAGTATTACCACAAGACCACAGGCAAACAGCCCATTAAACGTATGTTTGGAACTGGTAGGCTACTGCACCTTTTCTGAGAAAAACACACACATGTCCACACTCACTATGCTGGTACCAAGCTCCTCATCTGTGATGTCCAGAGAGTCTCTGTGTCTGTTAAACCTCCAACCTGTCCCGTCTTCACACATGCCATCCCACCGTTTAAGGTGAGACACCTGCCGTGTCTGAAACAGACAGAACTCTTAAAGCCTTTTGAAAGTCACTCATTCACTTTGTGTCTCACACTCTTCTGCAGTAAGTGCTTTGTACGTACCAGGGTTTTATGGGTGGTGTAGAGCTCCTGCAAGATTTGGTCCACAATGGAATTGGTGAGATAGGAAACGACTGACAGCTTCACTTCTCTGCAGGAGATTGGGTTAGAAAGAAAGAGGGAGACAAGAGAGGAAAAGGTTTGGTAAAAGTGAGAGCAAATCAATAACCTCCTTATCAAATTCAGACTTATTGCTGCAATCCTTCACTGCTGCGCTCCCTCATTTCCTTTTCCATGTCTGTCTCTTACTCTAAAGCGCGGTGAATGTCTTGCGCTGCTCTTTCCATAAGCGCCGTCCGAATGGCAGAGCGAGGGATGGACACGCGCTCGGATACGGACGAGAGAGGAGGACTCAATCTCTCCGCCGCAGAAGAAGATAAAGGACAGAGCTCGCGACAGAGAGACACCATAGAGTCGACGATCACCTGCAATGGACGATGGTTATCAGACACTCACTCGTCTGCTGTGGATCACAGAGTGAAAAGAAGCTGTTAGATCTACCTGAAGCTCCTTATCTGCAGCTTTGGCAAGTTCACCAGCCAGAGAGTCCAGCCGCTGCCGCACCGGCCCGTCCACGGACAGCACATGAGCCAGCTCACACAGTGAAGGGTAGAGCTTGGAGAACCGGACAGCAGAGGATTAATTCAAATTCAGTTTATCAGTAAAAGAAAATAGCACACTCGTGCATTTCATATGACTCACGGCGCGGGAATTCCTGGCCTCCTTTAGCACTTGTTTAGCAGCTTGAATCTCCTCCACCTCCCCGGCACCTCGTAACACACACACCTGCTGCTGCACACGCACACAGAGGCGCTCCATCACCTTGGAAACAGACGGGCAGGGAAGCGTTATGAGTGCAAACAAACATAAAACACTAAATAAATGTACACAGAGGTGGGTGCACACAGACTGGGGCTACCTGTTCGGCAGTGCTCGTAACCAGGCCTTGGTGCAGCCGCAGGGCCTGTCGCTGGGAGAAACGCTGGGTCTGGTTGTTCCTCACCAGAGCGCGCTGGATCTACGCACCAGAGAGAGAGAGGGGAGTGAGAATGTGAGAAGGATAGATGGATTAAAAAAATGATGACACAACAGGAAGATTGTAGCAGAGTGAAATTAATGAATCTAACAAACCCTTGCATTAAACGATGTCTCCCAAATGAGGTTAGGAAGATTAGCAGCAGATTAACAGACGCTTCCCTCAGACCAGTAGAAGACCAAAAGCAGGAACATTCAGAGCCCGCAAACTACATGTTGTATTTGTATTGTTTGTTTACTTTAACCAGACCACTGACGCTCTCTGTAAAGTAAGGTTTGAGGTAAAACTAGGGAGCTTTTTATTCATTTTATAGATTAAAAACTGTTTGATGACACTTGAACAAGAAACCATTGTCTATGATTAGACAATAGGTCAGAACATACATTAAATGATGGCTATGACGAGAGATTTTGAAGACACAAAAAAACACAAATGAATAAAAACAATACTAATAATAATAATACTAATACATAACTAAACAGTTTTTGATTTTACATCTACCAATCTCTTCTCATCATGTAAGGCTATCAACATTCATCCTAAAGCCTGATGTATCATGTCCTCAGGCTGAAATGCTGCTTTCCTACTGTTGTTTTCACTTTGCAGATCTCCTCTTTTCTTTTCATTAATGATACATACTGTGTGTTGTTTTAGTTCAGGACTCAAATCTGCCTCTGCCTTTCTTTAACTACTCCCACCCGGTGTAAAGGGAAAGAAGCTGTTAGCTGAACACAACGTTTCCTTTTCATGCTGAATTATTCAAAATATAAGGATTTCTTTCGTCTCATTTCCAAGAAACACAATTTTTTTCAAGAATTTTTGCAGAAAACCTCTCAGCTCCTTGTTTTCTTATAGAAACTGAAGGCTAAGATGACTCAGCCATTAGACTAACAATGGGACTGAGATCATTAGGGACATGCTTTTAGGATCTGCACTGAGCTGCACTGAGTTCCACAGTGGCAGGGTTTCATGGTAATATATCTCTTTATTATTAAAGTTGGGCCTTTACCAGACAAACTTCACACAGCCTAAGATGTGCTCTGTCCTCCATTGTTTTCTCTTTCAGAACCTTGAAAATTCTGCTCATTCATGAGGTTCTTGATGGTAAAAAGTTTTAAGATAGAAATAGAAAGACAACGTATTTTGTAAAGAAAGATTTAATCTCCCACATCTTTGTTGTATCTGTTTGAATTAATTTTTTTCTTCCTGAAAATGAAAATGTGATAATGGCTCATCTTTGATGCCGACCTTCGTCAGTGCCTGCTCTGTCCTCTCGGGGGCGCTGCGGTACGCCTGGCTGATGTCACTTAGTGGGAGAGGCATGTATTGCAACGTGAAATTACTGAGAGAGGGAACAGAAGAAGAAGAAGAAAAAAGAAGAGCAGGGGGTTGATTTATTGATGGAGACATTGAAAGACTAAAAGGAGAAATTAGTGGGTTACACAGACAAGGGTTAGTTAGGGTCAATAGCCCCACTGGACAGAACTCATCCCAAAATATCCTGCTTATGCCATGCAACTAATGTGTGAGTAATACTTTGATCTGTGCAACCATGTCATCCTTACCCTAAAGGTGAGTCTGGACCATTTAAGATAGCAGAGTGGAAAGCAACAATTTGCACAGCTCATGTTGCAAATTCTAACGTGGTTAAATGTTCTAAACATTAATCTAACAAAGTGTCATAACGGTTCTTGCATCTGACGTATAAGGTATCTTCTTAAGTAAAGCCTAGATTTCAGCATATAAAATACACATTGATGATGCGTTCATGCTCTTACTGTTCAAGTGCTCGGGCCACATCGAGAAATCCTGTCGCGGAGGTGTTGTTGCGATCCCAAGTCACACTCCTGCAGGAAAATATCATGAGTTGCATTGAATATAAACCCTCATATAGAGCAGACACATACGTTACGCTGCAGACATATCCTCCCTCTCTCAGTCGTTTACTTCACCTGAGCGTGGTGTTGATCTGCAGCGCTTTGCTCAGCATCTTGGCTCCGATGTCGTCCATATTGTTCCCGCTCAGGTCCACTTTTCTAAGGCAGGTGTTGCTGCCCAGGGCGTTGACAAGCATGGTGCCCCGAGAGCGCAGGCGCGAGTCGGACAGGGACAGAGACTGCAGGGCCTGGAGAGGGAGAGCGGGAAACAAGCATTAAAGAGACACATGTGTTTAAATGTCCCGGGGGGTATTTAGGAATAAATGAGACAGAGGGGGGAGAAAAAACTGAGCGGTGAAGAAGGAAGAGGGAAAAACCAACGGGATAGAATGCAGTGATGAAGCTTTACATGCTGTATGTATGAATTATTTACAATGTGTGCATGTAGTGATAGAGACACCAGGCCCACAGGGTAACAGAGCAACAGTGACACATCTGCAGGGAAATATAACACGAGAAAGGGACCAGGAAACCAGAGTAGAGGAGCAAGAGTAAAAAATGAACTTTTACTCAGACTCATCATTTCTCTTCATTTAAAACACATTTTGACATTATGTGGATGATTTTTTTTATGAAGCAAAGCTACCGACAACAAATTTTTTATTGGAGCAGACTTTTCCTGCGTTATCACTCACACATTCCTCATCCTGTATGAGTTGAACCAGCTTCTGCAGGACCTCATCCAGAACCCTGCAGACACAAACCATGAAAACAAACACCGAGACGAGGCTGTGTGAGCCAGCACGACTAATTACCTCCTGCTAGTGAGCTGTCCGCCCCGAGGAGCAGCAGCCGTTTGAAAAAATGTAAGTAAAATTTTAAAAAATCACACACGCACAATATATTAAAGCTGGCATATTTGGTGCACACTCACTCATGTTTCAGTACACACATAAAAAAAACTGCAGTAAAAGCTGAGTAACAAAAAAAATGGCAGCACCTGTGTTTGATGTTGAAGTTCTTGCCCAGAAGAAGGTTTTTGAGGGAAGAGTGTCTGGAAAGGGCCGGGAGCACTGTGAGCAAGTCTGCATCTAGACCTGTCAACACACACACAAATATATAAAGCTCAACATGATGTGATCCATTAACAACCCACTCACAGGGTCACAGTGAGATGTGCTGCATTGTGCTGCTGTACCATTGTCTGAAATATCCAGAGTGGCAATGGAGGAGACCCGGGGGAAGAGTTCCTGGATTACAGCAGCTCCTGCAGTCCTCAGCTGGGGAGAGAGAGAGACAGAAAGAAAAAACTAACATGTGCACAGACATGAACCAGAGTCAATTTAGCTCAGTCTTTGGGGTATTGTTCTGTTTTTCCAGAGTGAGGCAAAAATTATGGGTATTTTCTTATGTCTCTGCAGTCAGTCGAAGGTTTTTAAAGGTTTGTTGAGCAGTAAGGTTTGCTTGGTGTATGATCATCAGCAGCTCTGCTCAGTGGTAGAGGAAAAACACTTTCTCTTCTAATTAGCTTCACTAATACAAGTAAAGATACACAGTTAGGCTTGAGTGGAGGTTTGATACAACTTAATCAGCCCACTTAGTAAAATTAGCATATTTGTAAGTGTTTAGATTAAAAACATGGGGCAGTTAAACCAGACATTTCTCCTCAGAAGACTTTTATATATACATTTTACTACTTTGAACAGGTGCTGCTACTAAACCACAGGCAGTGTGGTGGTGTAATGAATCTTAATAAGTACATTCACTCAAGTACTGTACATTAGTGCAATGTTGCAACAGCAATCACACTTAATTTAACAGTTAATTATTGTATTTTCTACTGCACTTGGTTTATTTGATAAATACGGTCGAATTGTGTTTCTTTATTTATTAACAGGATTACACAAAGACGACTCAACAGATTTCCATAACACTTGGTGGAAAGATGGGATAGGGGTCAGGGAGGAACCCATTCAAATTTGGTGCAGATCCAGTTCAGGGGCCGGAGAGAGACAGGTTTAGGGGACTGATGTTTATGAGTGTGTGCAGTTTGGTGCAGATTCAAATAAAAATGTGGAGTTTGGTGAATGGAAATGTGGTTTCAACAGGGAACTGTTGAGCATTGGTGGCGGTGTGTGCTCTACTGACTGTCTTTCACATGATATACAATGATTTGATCCTTTGATGTTGAAAACATTGATTATTGCAGTGCTACAGTAAAATGATCTCAATACGGCAGCTGGTGTGTTGAGTGAGGCCAAGCTGATTAGGGAGTGGTTTAAACTGCGATACATGAAAAATATATATCTTTAAATTCCCTTTAACTTGCAGTCGAGGTGATAAGAGATACAGGGATGATCTCTTACCTCACAGCCACTGATGTCCAGATGAAGGTCATTGATATGAGGGTTGGAGGTTAACCCTGTGAGGAGAGCCCTGTTGAGACAGGAAGCAGAGAAAGTGAGCGTCAGAGAAAAATACAGGGGGAGAGGGCAATAATCACCATGTTGACTCAGCTGAATACATCAATACGAGTGTGGAGGTGTTTGAATAAAAGGGAGCGGGTAATGGTAATAAGACGTAACATGGGGAGTACCTCAGAACATCAGGGGGCAGCTTCATAGAGGCCAGGCTGACATGAGTGAGGCTGAAGGCCGAGCTGAAGAACTGACGAAACAACGGCAGCGTGTCCTTCACTTTTCTATTGGATTGACAAAAAAATTGAATGAGATGAAAGAGAGGAGGCACAGGAGTGAAAAGTTAAAGAGAGATGTTAGAGGGGAAGAGCCCGACCACACAGAAGAGATGAAGTCACAGTGTTTGGGTATATATGAGTGCAGGGGCTGAGCACAGAGCACCGACACAGAAAGAGAAATGAAGTGAATAAGGCATTGGTGTAAGTGGGGTCGAATGATAGATAGCTCTGCTTAAATATTCATGAGTCTTATCTATGCAGGCAGCGCCGAGAGTTGTGGTTTTAAACCGCGGTGGACACACCCACAGAGAGGAAACACAATGTTTCAATGATTGCCATAAAGCTCATTTCTGATTTCCCATTAAGCAGGAGATGAAGATAATGACAGACAAAAAAAAGAACGAGGGAGGGAGACAGAGAGGATGGATGAGGCCTTTAAGATGAAAGGAAAGAAGATATGTCTTCCTAGATTTGGATTTGCCACAGGGTTTATTGTTCAGGCAATCTTAAAAGATATGACTAACCTGTGGGAGAAGGAATTTTTGGAAAGATTCAGAAAGGAGAGATCAGCGCAACACCCCCTCAGAAGAGCCCCAAATAGCTGCGTTAGACACAGGGTGGAGACAGTTAATCTTGCACACAGAGACAGAAAAGCATTTCTTTTTTAACATGGCACATTTGATCATTACCCAAGCCATTGACAACACTCACTGAGTCTACGGAGCAATCTGTGCCTGACAGATCTAAATGGACCAGGCAGTTGGGCTGTGACAAGAAGAGATACAAGTTCTGCAAACAGAGGAAATGAAAGAGAGCGGCATCGTCATGAGCAGGAAAAGTGGGTAAAAATGGAACAGTGTGCGTGTGTGTGTGTGTGTGTTGTGCTTTCTGACCGAGGCATCCTCCCCAGAGAGGACTCCGGGGTTCTTGCTCAGGTCCAGGTGCAGGAGAGAGTTGGAGTACTCGTCGCTGGAGCACAGAGCCTGAGAGAGAGACACCACTCCTGAGAGAGAAAAAGAGAGAGAGAGTGAGAGAGGCGGTGGGATGGGGGTGATGGTTAAAAGGGAAAAAAAGAGAGCAGGAGTGAGACGGGGAGGTAGTTGTACAATATTAAACGACAGAGAACACTTTCAAAACATTTTGTGTCTTTACATTATTCATTCACATCTGCAGCAGCAGGTATCATGTGGATGTGATGGGGAAGCAGAGCATCGTATCTGCCTGCTTCAATCTAATATTTAAATTCTCCACTGGGTACATGGTAAACTGAGACAGTGACAGGAGGCATGCAGCCTGCAGGGCAGAACAAGACATCGTGAGTCAACGTGGAGTCGCAGCCTTTTCCAAAACACAAGGCACAGAATTATCTGGGGCTTTGTGGGTCTTTCTGTTGTCTAACCTAAAGCGTCTTCTACGCTGAGCTCTGAGAGGTGAATGAACTCATTTCCACCTGATCTTTGTGAATTAGTTACTTGTGTTACTCTCATTTTCTACTGAGCGACAGAGAGCGAAAACAAACCTTTGGAGGTGAGTGAGGTCTTGGAGAGGTTGAGCAGACGGAGTCCCTTGCTGAGGCGACACACCTGCTGTATTAAGTTGGACACACCTGCAGAATGTGCACAAAGAGTATAAACACTGAGCTACAGAAACATTAGATAGTTGGAAATGAGACAAGGAACCCGTCATTCACCATCACTTTGTGTGATCTTGTCATGTAATTTCCTGTTCTGTTGCAGCCTTTACTCTACAGTAACTACAACTCGAGCTCCGCTAAGGAGGTTGTGTTGTCACCAGCGTTGTTTGTCTGTCAGTTTGCAGGACAACACAAAAACTACTAATTGCATTACCAGGAATTCACTTTCTTTAACATTGCACAAGTGTGTAATGTTATTCAATATTTTCTTTTCAGAGATTTATGTGTGACCCTTGATGATGTGGTTGTGTTGAAGGACGTAGGGTGTACAGCTTGTGAGATGTAATGTGGGGGGCTCATGAGTCGGAGACATGGACCTGATCCTCAAGTTGACATCAGCCGCAATAAACTACGAGAGAGAGAGAGAAGCTGATGTTTGATTGTACCTTGGTTGTCCAGCGAGTTGTGCGCCAAGTTGAGCGAGTGAATGACAGAGGCAGGGTTCTCTGAAAGAGCAGCTGACATCTTCTGTGGGAAATCTCTGTGAGGTGGAACCACAGTTACACACCGACAAGAACATTAGAGCTGCAACGTACATTCTGATTAATCAATCACTTAGTCTGAGTGAAAAGTTCCCATCACAGGTTCTGACAGACAAAAGTCATGTCTTCAAACTTATGGTCCAAAAAAAGGAGAGGCAGTTCTCACATTTGAAAAGCAGGGAACCATTACAGCGATCCAAGAATTGGAGTTAGTCTCAGACTGATGTATCTCAAATCAGTATTGGATCACTGCATCAAGAGATTTAGCTTTGCCCTTTCAGTTTCAAAAAAAATGTCAAGATTGAAGCAGCAGAGGCTGAAATATCATCAGGATCATTTTTCAAAAACAGAAACTTACCTTCAGGAGCTTCAGAAAATGTTTTACAGTTGTTACACCTTAGATAAGCAAACTGAGGCTACATCAATACCTCTACGTTTTCATTTGAAAACAGCATTTTCAAACTAAAATCTTTATCATTTTTAATCCACCATTCACATACACTGGGCATGCACGTGCCAGCGTTCACAGAAATTGCTCAAATAACAGCTTGTCTCCTACACATGTAAGCAGTTGCATTATTGTAAATTGCAGAATTTAACTGCACAACAGCTATAAGCAAATACAACAGGGTCAGCAATACTTGTCATTTATTATCGTGTACACTGGTGGCCGAGGCTCATGCTGGCCATGTGATAGGAGCCTGACAAATCAGCGAAGGCTTCATTGTGACAGAACATGCAGACCCAGAGTATTCAAATTAAAACAGGGTCAGCTGCGTTTCCAAACTCCAAGCTTTTTGCAGCGCTAAAACTCTGAAGTCACGTATCTGAAGCAGAGTTGATGCATTTTCAAACTAAAACATTGTAGCCAGAGCTTCATTGGTGACGTGAACCTTTAACAATGTTTACAGAAGAATGAATGAGGAATCAAAACTTACGATTTGAGCCCTGCGTTCTCCAGAGTGATCTCCTCCAGGCTGGAGGATTTGCTGACTGTATGCAGGACCTGCTCTGTGACCTCTGACCCCTGAAGGAAAAATGGAAACACACGACAGCTTTTGCTTAAAGGCTCCACCTGTAATTCAGCAGACACAGTACAGTAATCGAGAGAAACGTATACATACTATGCGCAGGTCTTTGCAGTACAGTTTAGTAAACCAGGTGTTGTACGCCATTGATGCGACGATAACTGCTAAATCCCTGTAGAAGATAAAAACATGAGGTAGATGAGGTGAGATATTCTGGAGGTGACAGACTGCTCGTCGTCCCTCACCTGCTCTCCAGGTGGCTGAAGTCCAGCAGGTTAAACTCTCGGTTGTCCTGGGAGTGATAGATGGTGTCCACGTCCTGGGGGCAACAGTACACATGTTTGATACAGTGTGTGACCCCCACCCCCCACGCCCTCTCATTTTGTGTACAGCGCAGTATGTAAACACTCAAAAGCACTCAGAGTGACTCAGTCCCACTGCTCTTACCCACTGCACTTCCTCCTTGCAGCTGATGCCATTATAGTCGCACAGAGCGGCATAGGTCTCCGAGAAGCCTCCTGAGAGAGGCGGGTGCACAGAGGATAAAAACAGAAGAGAGAGAGAGAAGAAGAGAAAAATAATCAAAGCTGATGTGAACAGCTGCTTCCTGCAGCTATAAGAGGAGGGAAAAGAGAGGAACATGCAGACAGAAACATTTGTCCAAATTAACAGTCTTTTATTTGTGTGACAAAGCTCTTTAAAAAGAACATCTGGAAGAGCATTTGTGTAGTGAGTGAGTCGACTTCCTCTTCAGTCTGCCAACTGGTATGGATGTGTTTGTATCTGTGTGTGTGTGACTGTGTATGCATGTGTGTAGATTCCCATGTTTGAAGATGATGTCTTTTTTACCACAGGCCCTCTGGGTTTCCACTGAAGTCTCGGAGCTGGGCGAATACTTCCTGCTGCCTTCAGAAAGGTCACTGTCAGAATGACAGATGGACGGGCTGCACGGATAAAAGAAACACAGACACTGTAAAGAATCATTTCTCTTCTGATAATTGCACCAATAAAGGTCACTCCTCTTCAAAGCTTCCGATAACAGACGCCGCACAGATAAGTGAACATTAATTCAGATTTTCTCCTGCGAGATGGTGACACTTACGCAAAAATGGAGTTGTTGAATATTCGAGAGAGAGCGAAATTAATATGGCTGACCACATGATTGACATGTTCCCGTGATTCAAATCTCAGGCAGAAGCTGGACTTGTCAGTGTCGATAATGACCTGCACAGAATAGTGAAAGCATTAAATGTTTCTTATAATCAATTTAAAGCCACAGTGATGTAACCACTCCATTATACAAATGTACAGTAAATCAATCAGCTCAAACAATGGAGCAGAGTGTAAATGTGAAAGTTCACCTGGTGATCAGGGTGTGAATTCAGAGCTCGAATCTCCAGGAAGTTGAATGTAGATTCTACCTGTTGTCACGGATACAGTGGGCAGGGTTTCAGTCAGCATTGAGACAGAAAAGCTTCATACTGTACATTAACTGCAGAGAGGGGGGTGAGAACAGAAGTACCTTAGCGGGAACCTTTGGAGCCAGGAAATAAAGACGCCATGTCGCGAGGACCTAAAAAACAGGGAATGAAAAAGGATTGTGACAAAGTTCAATCACAATCAAATTCCCCCATGGGGAGAAAATAGTACCACGGGTTTCCATGGCAATGAAGAAAGGAAAATAAGGAGTCCTTTCAATATTCACGTATTGATCCAGCTGAAAGCCCTTTATGTCAGAGACATGTTATGTAACATTAATAGATTAGCACACACGCTGAGAAATGATGGCATGTTGCGACGTTTAAAACACATTCTTACACTGCAGGATGTAATTACATTAGCACTGAACTACTCCTGCTGAGGACAAACACGAAAGTGACTCATTTATCTACTTATTTCACAAATCTCTGTCTGTCTGGACAAATTCATCTTATCAGCTTATCGACTTGTGGCTCAGGGAAGTGCAGTGTTGAATTTGTTGCGATTTGTACACTGGATATGTTCAATATTAATAAACGTTGAATAAACAGACGACCAGCGCTCTGAAGCAGCGATGGCTGGGACTCATCTACGTAAGTTAAAATATCAGTCATGACAACAACATATTGTCCAGTTCAGGGTTCTGTGTACTGGGTCGAGCTTCACTCAACAGCTCTTTGTGCAGCAGCAGTGGAGCAGGTGCAGGGTTCTGTGGTCTTCACCTGCTGAGGCTCAGTTACTGCTTTCAAAAAGAAAGCTGCAACCAGCATCACCACAGGCCAAACAAACAGCTTTAGAACAGGCACTGCACAACTTTATATAACTTGAGATGTGCAGTGTGTCCTATATATGAGCTGCAAATTGTATGTAGCTGTATCTGTCTCCACATTTTCATTTTATACTTAAAGCAGAAAATAGACCATGATGGGTCTGGATAATACATTAGCATTTTTGCTGGGTATTATGGGTTATTTGGTGTCTTCAGTCCAAAATGTGTGGGACCATTTTAAAGCGACAGAAAGTTGATTTGAGGATGTGACGGTACATTTGTGCATCCTCATCTGAACGAGCACATAGAAGCACTTGTGCCTGTGCTTATTCTTGGCATGGAAACATTTGTGTCACGCAGCTGTCGGATAAATCTGATTCGTCCCTGATTCTTCTTCCTGAGCGACAACGTCTTTCGTCGCAAACAAAAAAAAAGCGATCGGCGTGTCTCTCTCCATCGAAGCAAACAAAAAGCAAACTGGTGGTTGTTTGGCATTTCTCCTGTTCTCTACCAGCCACTAAGAACTGCCCTCTGCTCTTTTTCTTCTCCTCTTCTGCTCCGTCACTCCCAATCATTTACTCCATTCTCTCTGATTGCCCCGCTAAAACACTCCTTGAGGGCAAACCCCCCCACCACCTCAACATGTCTCTGCCCAATGTAAAAGCAGTAATTCAATTACAGCTCTTCCACTCCACTGTTGTGTTTTTTTGGGAGACATGAGCTTGACTCAGGCTTGTCAGAACCACACGATGACAGCCACTTACACCCACACAGCAAGTGAGGTGTCTGACAGTCACTCACAATGTGCATGTGAAATGGAGAGAGGGAGCGAGAGAGAGGAGGATCTGCCTTTCACTTTCAAACCCCGTCTAAAGGAGTAGATTAAAAACAACTAGATTGCATCGCATTACGTTGTTGCGTCGGGTTAAGGGTGCTGGTTAGCAGACAGCGTCCAAGTAAACAGGAGTAAATCATGGAGATGCAGCAGGAGAGAGACTTGTTGAAGTATCCCTCATCAAAGAGGGACCACACGCACGTCGTGATTATTGTGGCGTGTAATTATGCATGAGCGCCGGAACAGGACACATATTCTAATCTCCTCTAGTTTGACAGTTTGGGTGAAGCCTTTGTGAGGGACTGAGATAAGTTCGCGTGACCTGCAAACCACAAATCACATCCCCAAACAAGCTTCATCCAACTCCATTCCGACCCTGATCTCTCTGTGAAACACCAAAACAAAACCTCAACACATTTAAGCTCAGCTTTCCCAAAAAAGTGCTAAGCCGTGGTGTTTGATCAAACTCCAATTTCTTTCCCCGTCGCCTGTGCGCGCCCAGCAGGAGCGAGAACTCTGGCTCTCCAGTTCAGCTTTTAAAGAGGAAGCAGCAAATGAGATATGGATTGGAAAGAGATTATTGGAAAAGATGTTTCTGGCAGATAGACATATCAAAGTGTCTGAATATCAAAGTCTGTACATGCAGAAACTCTCCTAACTGCCCGTCCTTGCCACATGATGAATCATTAAAGCATTCATCGAGTGAAAGCGCAGCTTTGCCAAGGCGAAGACAGGGGATTGCAGGAGGTGCAAGAGGAGTCGCAAGTCTTTTTAAAAGTGTAAAAGCAACTCCAGGCTTTGTATGAGCGTGTCCTCACACAGACATGCTTTTAAAGCAGCACTCAATCAATACAGCCTGCTGTATATATGCAGCCTGTGTGGATGAGCTCTGGCACACACAAGGTGTGTGTTTGCTTGTGCAAACATGGCATTGATCCAGGGTCCAGTGTAATTTCTGGTCCACAGTGGAAGAGCTCGTTGCCCCAGATTCTTTCCAGATAGCTGGCTGAGCTTCACTCACTCACATTGACTTTATATCTACGTCCCATATTCTCTGATGAAAGCACCCCTGAATCAAAGGCTGCGAGCTGCTCAGCTCCCCACTGCCTCCACAGTGGGACTTGCAGACACAGAGGAATCCACAGCCGCTCCCACAGATACTGTCTATCCAATATTCATCCTGACGAGCAACCAGCAGCGGTCGTGAAGCAGCTGACCGCAGAATCCAAGACGTCCAGTCTCACTGTGAAATCACGGAGAGCTCCTGTCTCTGCTGTCATGGATATCATCACTGGGGCTGAGATCCATTTACACTGCAACTGGGGCTAACATCAAACACAAGTGTACAGATATAATGAATGCATCAGACTGCTTATGAAGTGGGAATAATGTATTTCTTCTACATCACCATCCCACTGTGACTGTAAAACAGAGGCCGGTTAAAAGAGAGCAGGCTGAACGCAGACACTCACCAGTATCCTGTCCTCCGTTTTGCCGTTTTTGGTGTCGAGCTTAATGCCACAAACAAACTTGATAGATGATTTATCGATAATCTTCCTGATGCTTTCTGTGGATGAAAACCATGACACAGGGACACACAGTATAAAGTTAGAAAAACACACACAAAAAGGAGCACATTCTCCCTGTTTAAGTCATTAAAGGAATCCAACCAGCATTTTTACAAATTTCACTGCATGTAATAAAAAATACTGCCAACTATTTTCTTATTTCAGAAATCATGTCTGCATTTATTGTCACTATGTTACATGATGCTATTTTATCAATGTACATTCATTCTACACTGATTTGAAAAGTATGAACTGTACTGCCTTGCATTTGTGACATATTTCAAAAATCGTTTGATATAAATAAAGTTAGAAATACAACATATAACGAGACGAAACAAATTCTCTTGATTATCACTGTATTATTAAAATGTGCTAAAAATGATCAAAAAGGTATTGATACACAACCTGAAGTAATATCACCAAGTTTTATATTTTAATCATTTATTTATTATCAACAAAAATATTAAAATAACCATATAGCACCATATCAAATGTGCAACACTAACATTAAAGAAGGAAGGAAGTGAGGCTTTAGCTCACGAAAGAAGCTTATTGTTTTACAATGAAAACTTCCTGTAATGCGGATTTTAAATGAAACCTTATACAAATAAATTAAATGTGCATAAAAAAAACACCATTATGAACATAGTCATGTGCACGTATCAACAATACAACCACACGTGAACGAATCCCACGTCCGATGTTTATGACATATGAAATAACAACAAAAACAAGCGAGCGGAGGAGAGACGGTAAACAACTTGTTAAGTTAAGTGCAGACGTCGACCCCAGATGTGTCAGAGTCTGGACTAGGTATTAACTTATCGGTTTCACACCTCATGCTGTTAAGGTACCAACCAATTAAAGAGTGTGAGGGTTTTTTTTCTCATGTAAACAGATTACTATAGAATACAAGTTCATAGTGTTTCTGCACTTGGGATTTATTTTTCCAGATGTCTAGTTTTTAAACACACATTTTTGCTCCAATGCTTGCAAGCAGGATAAAATACTAAATTCATCATGTTCAGTGAGCTGACATCAGTATCCAAACCTACTTAAGTCAAAAAGAGGTTTTGAGATTTCAGAATATGCTGCATATTTACTCTGTAGGACATGACAGCTCCATGTGAGCATAGAGTCTCGGTAGATTCTCACTGCACATTGGCTTTAATATTGTAATGAACAAAACCTTACAAGCTAAACACATTTAAATGAATCATACCCCACCTTGACCTTTGTGTGGATATGTGCTTGTAACTTCATCTCCATCTAATAACTGAGGAATATATCAGACTCGTTTGAACAGACTCCTTCTGACATTTCACTTGATAAAATAATCCACTTACCACTGAACCTGTATTTATCCTGATCATTCTAAATGAATTACATTCCTTTGAAATGCAAATTGATATAATCAGCATGTAACGTAGAAGCAGGGTTTATGGTCCAGAACACAGTGCATTCAGAGAGATGGCACCTGGATTTCATGCATTGATAGAAAATCTGATGATTGAAATATGAGAATATTCATTTCAGCTGCACCATGATGGAATTTAAAAGCAACTGTAGCTTGTGGTGTCATCATAGTGTTCCACAATATGCTCCAGTCTTTTCCTTTTGACACATTCGAGCAACAGATGATTCACTGAGAACTGTTCCTGTCAAACAGCATCACTGTGGCGGCTGTGACCCCTGACTCGTATATACAGCACGTAACTGCTGCAGAGGAGGAAGTGTCTTGCTCATAGGGTGAGAACAACACACGGCGCCAACACACATATCACAGAAACATACAGTCACTGGCAGGAAATACCTGATTCAGCCTCTCCATTACTGTGCCTGCACTGCATCCCGACTGACAAGTTTATGAGCAAAATCGATAAACCAAAGCCTGGACAGTGGAGTTTGGCTCTAGAGTTGATACAGTCACACTGGATAGTAAAGCAAGTCTTCCTGTTAATGGAAAGGTGTTTATATCTATACAGTATATACATATATATATCTTTGGGGCACAAAAGTCTTTGAGAAGCAAATTTCAAATTAGTACTGTATCTACTTTGCTTGCACCACTATTGCTATTTTATGCAATGTATTTATTCCACGTGTGAAGCATTATCTGTCTTCCTTGTCATATGAATTGTTTTAGATTAAATCTATGATTCCCCCTTTACTCAACTTACAGAACCGACTGCTTCTTCCACCCTAGTTGAAAAGGTAAAGCGTGTGTGACTGATGTGTGATAGAGAAAGTGCTGCACATGGATGCACTGTATATGAATGGGTGAATGGAAAACTGTACTGTAAAGCGGTTTCAATTTCAATCAAGACTTGAACAGCTCATAAATACAAAATAAATAAGATAATTTACATTGCAGTGAGTCTGAGTGAAGCTTAGTGTGAAGTTAGATGAGATGAAGCTTTGGTTTGCTTTCCAAACCCTAAAACACATTCATCCATTATCTATACTGCTTATCCTCATGTTGGACCTGGAGCCAATCCAAGCTGACGTTGGGAGAGAAATGGGTACATCCTGGACTGAAGGAGGAAGTCGGAGTATCTGGAGAAAACCCACGCAGACACAGGGAGAGCATGCCCTCTTGCTGTGAGGCAACAGTGCTAACCACCACACCACCATGCTGCTCCACACATCTTCCAAAAAGTATCATTTTTCATTTTGCTGCTAGTTCGCTGTTGGTGCTGTTCATCCTTACTTTAGTGGAATCTCTGTTAGCAAAGACTGTGGCACAGGCAAAAACACTAAACTGACAATAACCACCCACTGCATCCAGAGAAGAGGTCTAAACTCCAGTCTCATTCAGGTGACCTTGTGCGGCTTGCAGGCCACAGGGGCCACGGTGGCCCCTGGGTCACTCAGTCAGTGGGAAGAGCCTGAAGGAAGTGCAGCTGCCCGGCAGGTGACTGAATGAAGAAGCAGGGATTCCACTGGATTAATCATCACAGTGCGCCTAATAGAGCCATTAGGAGTAATTAACACAGCAGCAGACTCCCTGCCACCCTGAGCATGTGTGCACTGGATTTCTCTGCGCGTGAGTGTTTGTGCGTGTGCATGATGCTCCATTCATGCCGGTGCAAAGACTCTAAAAGGTGTGAGATGTTGCTGTTTGAGAAAATAAAATAAACATTTGTGCATTCTGTCAGCTTTTCCTGGCCCTTGTATTTTGTTTGGAAGGAGACTGAACATCCGCCTCCATCTGTGTCTCCTCACTTTCACATGCACATATGCACGTGCGTAATCAGAGTGCAGAAACAAGATGACAATAGTGAAAGGTAGAGAAGAAGAAATGAGAGTGTGAAAGAGAAAACGTGAAAGGAGCATGAGAACACAGCATCATCTCCACAACGCCCCTCTCCCCCTCTGGCCTAAGGCTGCCTATGGCTCTCTTCACCTGCTCCAGCCTGAGGCGCAGATGTAAAGCCTCGTACTGTAAGTCACCCCGCACTGTAAATGATTCACATGCACATTGAACTGGTGCACACGCACGGAGGAGAGGAGGAGCAGAGCAGCCCCGCAAAGCTCCGGGACAGCATGGAGAAGGTGCCGCTCATGACAATGATCCAATGCGTCTGATTCGGTCGCAGGCTCCGACGCGCGGAGGAGAAGCATCCCGAGCCTGAGCGCACACACCCCGGTCACAGCCCCACAACGAGACCCGGAGCAGGAACACTCTCACACTCTCTCTCTCACACACACACACACACACACACACACAAGCGAGCGGCGGTGTTTTTACCCACCTGTGATATCTTTGCTCACACTGATGAAACCAGAGGCAGTGTTCTCTTTAGAAGCCATGTCTGCTCCTCTCTCCTATCGCCACCCCTCCTCCACCTCCTCCTCCTGATGCTGCTGCTCTCCTCCACCTCCCCCCCTCTCCCTCACATATACACACACAGGGATGGACAGGAGGGACGCTCTCTCTCTCTCTCTCTCTTTCTTTCTCTCTCTCTCTCTCTCTCCCCCCTGACGTTCCAGCAGAGCAGCCGACAGCCCGACGCGCTTCCTGGAACAGACCCCGTGGATGCTGGGGAGGCTGGCTGGATGTGGGGGTGGAGGAGGGAGGGACGGGGGGGGGATGGAGGCAGGGATGAGGTGGAGAAGTGGGCGGGGATCACTCTGAGGGACCAGGAGGCAGCTGTAGTTGTAACTTACCTGAGAAAACAGAAAAGCTCAATCACAGATGATGCAGTTTGGCTTTTGAAGGAATGAAAAGTTGATGAGGTGCATGAAAACAAAAAAAAAGAAGTCCGATGCTGCTTCACTACTGTCATTTAAAAGAGATTACTACTCTAGATTAGAATGATTCATGTTTGAGTCCCAACAGGACTTACACTGCTCATCAGAAAGACACCAACTTAATAAAGGCTAATGTGTTCTACTAAAATCACCACTTCCTCCCACTCTCCAGACAGGAAGCCAAAATATCCTGGATACAAACGCTGCCATCTTGCATATTTGAAGTCCCGATTGATCCACGTGATCCACCAATCACAAGTAGCCCTGTTTATATACAAATAACACATTTAATTCAACTTATTGGAAAAATAAGCCCTTGAATAAACATCGGTTTGATGAGAACTCTTTAAAATGACACAAACCATCTTTAAGTAAAATGTATTTTATAACATGTACTTTTTAGTTTGGTCCATGTCCTGTGCATTAGCATGGAGGAGGTGAGGGTTATTATCTATACTGCAGCCAGCCACCAGGTGGTGATAGAGACACTTTGGCTTCAGTTTTGGGAAGCTGTCATGTTGCCTGACACTCCGAATTATTTCTTTGGCCCTGCAGCTACACAAAATTTGTGTTGGCATATGATGATTAAAATTCCCATTGAGTGAAAAAACAAAAGTCTGCCCTTTGAGTTGCTCCCAGCTAAGCAATGAAGTCAATGATGTGCACTTCGGGAAATTTCCGTCTCTAATTGCACTAAAAGTCAAGTGACAATCAAAGATTCATGCTTTGGACACTATCACATGTTATCCCAGTTCATCCCTGTGAACTGTACATGCATGCGTGAACCACATTTCATGGCAATCCTTCCCATATTTGTGAAATATTTCAATCTGGATCAAAGTAATGGAATGTGCCACTTGCACGGTAAGAATCAAACTGACTGTGGCTTGTGGTTCTCATCATTTAATTTAACAAATCTTTATTTGATTGTATCTGACTGGATTATACTGAATAAAATGAAACAATCCCAGAAGAGAAAAGAAGCATTGACAGCAGTTACTGGAAAGAAGAGGAGGATATAAATAGAGCAGAACAAGGGATAATAAAATACAACCAAGCACTAAATGAAGATGGGTTAAACATGAACAGGACAGAAAATAATTCAAAGCAAAGAATGGGAAAAAGTGAAAAAGTACTTTCACATTAGTAGGCCGTTTTTGTGAGGACACAAGTGATTTCTGTTTGGACAAAGAGTAGAACTTTTTGTATTGTGGTTTTAAAATCTGTCTATCACTCTATGCTGTAGTCTGATTGCTCCGCCTATTAACTGCTCGACAGAGGAAGGAAAAGCCTCCACCAAGATGACCATCTCTGTCTGTAATTTACTATGTTTGTCAGATAAAACTCCTCCTCAGAGATACTATTACTCTCTGTCTCATAGTTTTCACATAAACCTTCTCTGGACTTCCTAAATAGAGGCTACATCACTTTCAGTGCTGGAGATCTCCAAATCATAAGTCACATTCTCTTTAACAAAAAAGAACAGTGGAATAAGACATTTAACCCTGGACTTTAAAATGCTCAACAGAGTGAACATCATCTTTTTGTCCTCACTGCTGGGTGAGTACCACAGATAAAATGTGACTGACTGACGAGGCCTCTACCAAAAAAAAAAGAAAATCCTGTGATCTCATATAAAAAAACATTTGCTTGTGTCTACATTAAGTTGTCAGAGCTAACGCTGACTCAAAGCTTTGCTCTGTTATTTGATGCAGTTGTGTAGAGCTCTACATTTTACTGGGCTGGGAGGTTTTGAAACTGATGTGCACCAGCCAGAACGTGAACAAGGCTAATGTAAATGATTTGGACAAGAGTGTCAAATTCCCTGTGATGACAGCTTCCTCCTCGACAGCCATGACTTATGTCGATGTTAACTGTACGACTGTACTGTGTCTGTGTGTGTCTGTGAATGAAAATACAGTGAAATGTGTGCACATTCCTTTCGTTCCCATGGGGATGATAACCGTCTAAACAGTCTCATTAAGGAATGTAGGAAACTCTCCTCTCTGTCGCACTTTGTGGCAGTAACATCACTGTGTGTGAGTGTGTGGGTGTGTGTGTGTGTGTGTGTGTGTGTGTGTAAGACTCGGATGGTCTGTGACTTCAAAGCATCATCCACTGCTATTATTTTTGTATAAAAAGTTTTATTTAGACATATTGAATCCACCAGAAGTGATTAACTTATTTTTTTAATGTTACTTTATATTGTTTGGTTATTTTATCCAAACTCAGTGGTGGACCTTGACTGTCTGGCTTTCTGCTGGCGGATTAAAACCATCTGAGACGGCCATGTTGTTACTTCTTCTTTATTAATACAATTATTCCTTGTCATTAGTGAGTCCTCCTCAGTCATTCTACAATATACTGTCACTTTTTATTGTTTGCGTGCAGAGCTTTTTATAAACAGTCTAATGAGCAAAGTTAGAAAACTTTGTGTTCATCCCACCTGGTTAAATTTAATGAAGCATTGTGCATCTGTGATTCTTTTTTTTTAATGGTCAAATGTTTTTCATAACGTTCATTTCAGGTCTGTTGAGCAACCGATACAATCTTCAGACCCAAGTTCACAACTTTCAAAATGAAAGCTCTGCAGTTCAGCTCGATAGAAAAAAATGGCAGCAACAAAATGAATGTTATGCTTTAATTACTTCTGCGTCAGTCCAATATGGTGAAATAAATAAGGCAAATTATTAAAATGATCAAGCTGTGGTTTTGACCCAAGATTAGACTCAGTTGTCACCACTGCAGTAGATTATTCGAGAACATGGTCAATGATCAATTCAGTCCATAGACCGTTTGTTAAAGCCCCGCCCTCACAGATTGCAAGGCACTGTTTACCTGTTTATTAAAAAACATATCACGCCTCTAAATCACGACAAATTCAATACCCCTGGTAAGAATGCACATTCCAAGTGTGAAGCTGATAAGATGAATGGTTCTTGAGATATTCAAGCAACAGACAGACTGATAGAGATTTTTGGAATTAATAGATAGAAGATCGATTTTTCTCCTGATGGCCACACAGTAGACTGAACATATTTCATGTGATGATATGAGTTATGTTTGTGTAAAATCATTCCTCTGTGTTTCAGGTGTAGTTCTCCATGTTGCTGAATTTAAAGGTACTGGCAGAGGAGATGATTCACTGTGCACCTGTCTGACTCATAGATACAGTAAATTTGACTCAAGCATGAAAAAGCCCAAAACAGAGTCTTCCCTGTTCCTGCAGGATCTCTGGAGGCCAGTGTCTCTGTGAAGCCTCCGGGGCCAAACATCTACCTGGGTGAGAGCGCGCTCCTGCAGTGCACTGTGGAGTCACTCTCTGCTTTTGTGAAGAGCTACCGCTGGTACAGGTCCAAACCACACAACCCCAACCCCAGGCACCTGGTCTCTGGTGACATCTACTTCATCACCGCGGTAACAAGGGAGGACACTGACAGGTACTGGTGCCAAGCCGAGTGTCGGGAGAACAAGACTATGTTTGTGGTGAAGGCCCGGACGGTCTCGCTCAGAGTGTCAGGTGAGCAGCAGCTACGACTGCAGCCTCTGCAGCGCGGAATCAGGTTTCTGCTTCGCACAGGACGAATCAGATGAGGAGAGAGGTTGTTCAGTCTCACACTGACTAATGCAGAGACACACAGATGCTCCTCATTTTCCTCAAACAGTCATAACTCCTACTGAACTATTTCCATATCATGGTTAAAACATGACTCACTGTGTAACAGTGACTTTAGAACAACCCATATCAAACACTTGGCAGAAAAGAATGTTGCTGATCTGACATGATTTGTATTGTCTCATTACTATTCAGAGGTGTGTTTTGGGAATAACATGCAATAAACCAATCAAAGTGCCATCTCCCATTACCTTTAAAAGTGTCCTTGCACCAGCAAGGTTATTATGATGGCAAGTTTGTCAGCAGAGGAAACAAGTCATCATATTTTACACCCTTTTATTACTCAATACTAATATTTATCATTATTATAAAATCCTATGTCATTGCTGTGAAACGTGGAGCCATTTTCCTGCTTTGAAAACGGTGAGCATGACACTGCTGTTGCTAAGCAGCAATAAAATGGGTAGCAGGACTTGCATTATGTTGCATTAGATACATTGTTGGATTTGTATTATGTGGATTATGAGTCAGTGCACATTGTTCATGTAGGAATTAAATAAGTAATCTAACCCCTACTGGAGAAATTCATGGTGACTGTGTTTGGCAGATTATCACATGAGAAGGTTGTTTCCTAAATGTGCAACAGTTAGTCAAGTGTAGCCACAGGTGAATTGCAAGACCACAGCTGAGCAAGTGATTTTAAAAAATGGAGTACAGCTGAAGGCAAATTACATTAAGTGAGAGCACAAGTTTCACAGACAGCAGAGATTTACAGTTAAAACTAGAAGGGCATTCAGTGGAACGCACCTCCGCCAAGGCCCATCAGTCCCCTTTAATTCAATCAAGCTGCTACACTCACTCACAGATATTAGTTCCATAAATGTGTCTGATTTTTTTTTTTTTGCCATGATCTGGATCTGCACCAAATTTACAGGGTTTTTCTCTGACATATACCACATCCTTCCACAGAGTTTCCTGCAAATCAGTTTTTGTCATTACAAACAACCAACCCACAAACAAACATGACCTCTGACCTTGGTGGAGGCAGACACTTCAATTGAT